GGTTTTTTTAATTTACTGGAGTATATTCCAGAGATTCATGGGGTGAGACGGTTCACCGGAGACTGAGTGGGGAGCAGAACAGGTGAATCTACTGAAATACACTGCTTACAGGAGCAGCAGGTGAGACATGAGAGGTCTGCTGTGCCACGTGGGTCAGCTTCCTGGCCAGGGATTGAACCCATGCCTCTGGCTGGAGATGGCTTGATAGTGCCACCAGGGACATCCACCTTTTTACCTATTCTGAACATTGAAGTGTTTGGAATTGTTGTGGCCTTGTGTGACCAGCATGTGGCAAAATAAAGAAAAGCCAAAATGATAATAAGTGGTAGTGGGAAAACAAGTATATTGATAGCAGATGGTTTCATGGTGACTTCCTCACACCTTTAAAACAAAGCCATTAAATGCCACCATCAAAATTCTTGTTAGTTAGGGACAAAAGCAAGCTTTTCCATCAGGACTTAAGATTTCTCTCCCAGGGCATCCCTGGTAGCGCAAGGGGTTAAGACAAGCACTGTGAAGCTATCCGCAGCCACTACAGGATGAGATCGATCCCTGGCCAGGAAGCTACCCATTGGCACAGCAGACCTCTCCTGATTTGTCCGCTGTTCCCCTCAGGAGTGTATTTCAGTCAATCTGCCTATTCTGTTCCCCACTCCGTCTCTGGTGAATCCTCTCACCCCCCACACCTCTGGCCTGTACCCCAGTTCTTGTGTACATGAATAAATAAATCTTCAAAAAATATGATTTCTCTCCCCATCTCTTTAATTAATACAACCTGCATTATGACATTGTATGTATATATGTAAATCGGCAGTGTATATGTTACGTTAACTTTACCATGGGTTGTTCCTATTTGTCATTAAAAGCATTTTTTTTAAAGATTTATTTATTTATTTATACAAGCACTGGGTATAGTCAGAAACATGAGAGTGTGAGAGAATTCACCAGAGCCAGAGCGGGGAACGGAACAGATAGACTGATGAAATACACTGCTGAGGGGAGCAGCGGGTGCAGCAGGAGAGGTCTGCGTGCCATGTGGGACACTTGCTGGTGGCTGGGGATCAAACTGGCACTGCAGGGGCTGCGGGCAGCTTCGCAGTCCAGTGCTCAACTGCTGAGCCACCAGGGGAGGCCCATTTAAAAGCATTCTTAATTGACATAAACATATGGGAAAAGAGAGTTTATTCTCTTTCACATACATTTCATATAACACATTCATTCCAGTAAAGGAAATATATGAATAGGTTTGAACAGATGAGATTTCTCTACATTAGTAGCAAACTTAATGGAAATTTTGGATAAAATTCTCTGTTTATCAATTGGGATTTTTTTGTGATAAAGAATCATAAGAAAGATTGGATTCATTAAACCCTATTGCAAATTAACTTTGCATTTTATCTTTCTCCTCTATCTCTTTTATTTTTCATTTATTTTTATTTTCATGGATCTTGTTAGAACTGTGACAGCATAGGACTTCCTGTCTCAGTTGTAGTCACTGCAGCGACATAGTCCTCTGCCACCAAAGTACCCATAGTCCCCACCATAATCCCTTGTGTTCTTGCCACTCCCACATTTTCCCCCTCTGGTTGCTTCAGATTATGGTCAGGTTTCAGAATTGGTTTCACTATTGTCTTTGACCCATTTTTTGGCTTCACTATATTAAACATATAAGTGAACACCAAGAGGTATTAATCTTTCTCCTTTTGGCTTATTTCACCTAGCATAATCCCTCTCTCATTTTTGAAGTTGAGGGAGGTGAGGTATAGATTTTTGGCTAGCCACATCATAGCAGCTTAATGGTCTAATCACCAACAGATTTATTTTGACTCAGTTTCATCAACATTCTGTTACCCAAACAACTTGTTTTTCAGAATCTTAAATGACTACTTGACTAAACAAAGTTGAACAACCTCACGATAATAAACAAGTTGATACTATCCTTAGTCATGGTTTATGGAGTTTATTTATAGGTCAGTATGTTTAAAGTTCCTTCTTCATTTAAACTTGATGATTGTTTTTGAGCAGGGATATGGAAACAAACTCTCAAAAATAGTAGACAGAGAAACTAGACTTCAGGGCCTCCCCGGTGGCATAGCGGTTGAGCGCTGGGTTGCGAAGCTGCCCATGGCCTCTGCAGTGCTGGTTTGATCCCCGGCTGCCGGAGGAGGGTCCCACATGGCTAGCAGACCTCTCCTGACGCCTGCTGCTCCCCTCAGCAGTGTACTTTGTCGGTCTGCCTGTTCTGTTCCCCGCTCTGGCTCTGGTGAATTCTCTCACGCCCCCACACTTCTGACTGTACCCAGTGGTTGCATAAATACATAAAATCTTAAAACAAAAAAAAAAACAACAAAAGCTAGATTTCATAACAAGTCTGATGAGACCAAAGTGTTGTTTTGTCAATATTGCAAAAATATCTCTGCAAAAACATCGATCTCAGTTTTCTTTGATCAAATAATGGGATATTTTGCAGTTGTACTTCTTCCTAGTCATGTCTAGTATGCACAAAACATTTAAGAGAACTAGACCAAACATCCAAAAATGCCAAAATAACTTATCCTGCTACTCTCAATATGTGTCAATTCATTCTTTAAAATTATCAACCATATTAACTGTCTCAATAATGTATCTATTGTATATTCACTGAAGTAGATCTAACTTTAACTTATTATTATTGTGTCTAATAACTGTTCAACATTAATTAAACACTACATCCTACTTTTGTGTGAAAACTGATTACATGATCAAAAGGCCTTCTGATTAGAATATAATTGCAGAGAAATAAAATAACAACTAGATAACTTTTACTATAATACCACAACAATATCATAAAAGAGTATGTATCGGGCCTCCCTGATGGTGCAAGGGGTTAAGGCGCAACCTATGAAGCTATCCGCAGCCACTATGGCATGAGTTCGATCCCAGTAGCCAGGGAGCTGCACACTTGGTGCAGTAGACCACTCTTGTTGCACCTGCTGCTCCCCTCAGCAGTGTGTTTCAGTCAATCAGCCTGTTCTGTTCCCCACTCTGTCTCTGGTGAATTCTCTCACCCTCCCACACCTCTGGCCTGTACCTCAGTTCTTGTATGCATAAATAAATAAATCTTTAAAAAAAAATGTATGTATCTCCCAGCTGCTAAAACTATTTGTTTTTGCTGTTTTTAAAAAAATTATTTATTTATACAAGAACAGGGATACAGGCCAGATGTGTGGGAGGGTGGGAGCATTCACCAGAGATAGAGTGGGGAATAGAACAGGCAGACTGACGAAATACACTGCTGAGGGGAGCAGTGGGCGAGACAGGAGTGATCTGCCATGCCATGTGGTCATCTTTGCAACTGGCAGGATCAAACTGGCACTGCGGAGGCTGCTGACAGCTTCACAGCGCTGCACTTAACCGCCTGTGCCACCAGTGAGGCCCATTATTTGGATACAGTTATCTGTTTTCATAAGTTTCATGGTAAGCACGTAACACAGACATTTCATATTTATAAAACAAGTGATACTTTTGGCTTATCCTTTTTGTGCTTCGAGAGGATAGAGGCATTTATATCTTCCCTGCTTTTCAAAATAAATCATTCAGGGCCTCCACTGGTGGCACAGTGGTTGAGCGCGGGGCTGCGAGGCTGCCCGCAGCCTCTGCAGCGCCGTTTCGTTTCCCAGCCGTCGGTGAGGGGCCCACCAAAAAAAAAAAAAAAAAAAAAAAATCATTCACTTTTGATAGCTTTTTTTAAGCACTCATTCACTTTTTATTCAGCATATATCCTATATACATATATCTTCAGCATATATCTTCAATGCAAGCCACTGAATTCTCTACAGCATGTGAGATGTGATACAAAATAATTGTGTTTGGCTTTCTCTGGTTTCAGGAGATTATCCATGTAGGAAGGATATCTATCCCAGTTCCTCTAAAGGTGCTAGAGACAAAGCCTGAATGATGTCTTTCCTGACTCCAGGAGCACCTAGGTTTTCCAAAAGAAATTTTTGATAGACAAACAATTGGACTGCAAAAGACACTGATTTTATACTAAGTGTATGTATAGACATTGTTACATTTAATATAGGCATTATAATGAACATTTTTGTTGATGTTCAAAAACGAAATAAATAGGCCCTCCCTGGTGGCACAGGGGGTTAAGCACCGCACTCTGAAGCAATCCACAGCCTCTGCAGCACGAGTTCGATCTCCTGCCAACCAAAGAGCAACAAACAGGGCGCAGCAGACCTCTCCTGTCTCATCCGCTGCTCCCATCGGCAGTGTATTTCAGTCAGTCTGCCTGTTCTGTTCTCTGCTCTGTCTCTGGTGAATGCTCTCATCCTCCCACACCTCTGGCCTATACCCCAGTTCTTCTATGCATGAATAAATGAATCTTTAAAAAAAGTAAACAACAAAAAAAAACAAAAATAAATAGCCAATAAATAAATAAATAAATAGCCAAAAGTGAACACATCAAAGCAATTTTCAGAAGTAATGGCAGGTCTTTTAATTGTTCCTTTCCAGTGTAGCCCTGGAAAGAGCTTTAGTCTCCAATGTAGTCCCCTCAACTCCTCTCTTACCCTTGAAATATATCTAGCTGAAATTCTGACATCACTAAAGGAAAATCAATAATACTCTCTTGAAATTCAGCATTTAGTTCAAATGTTTTTACATATTTATATTTAGTTAGCACACACCGTGTCTATTTTAACTTATTAATTAACGCAAATGTTTATGATGTTCGTTAATGGAGTATACTTGTGAAAGTATCCTTGAACTTACAAATGGGTTAAAATTCTCAGGATCAAGTGTTTAATCCAGAATAACTGTCATGATAGATTTGAAGTGTCTCATTGCTTCATTCTTTATGAATATGTAGCAGTTAATGAAAAATTGTATGTACATGTCTCTCTCTCTATATATATACACACACACATACATACATACATACATACACATATAAAGAAAAAAATCAGCAAAGCTAAGAAACTCAATGGCCAGACAAACTATAAAGCATTACTTACATTGTGCTTTGTCAGATTTGAAATATTAGTTGCTATTGCTTGAAGCCAGTCAATGCAGTCTTCAGCAGAGAGGCACTGAATAATCCCACTGCAGACTCCATCCACAGCAATGACTTGAAAAGCATTCTGCCTATGGTAATATCAGAATAAATTAGATCAAAACCCATTTAATTTACTTATTTGCTACTTGAAATACTATCTGTTGAAAGTTCTTCTTTCCACACAATATGTACATAGCTTCAAATTATTTGCTTACTTCTCTATGAATACATCACTTTTATTTTTATTTTTAATTATTTTTCATTGAAGCAACATTGATACGTGATACCATATATGATTTAGAGATTTTTAAATTTAAAGGTTCACACATTTTATGAGGCACATTACCAGACTATGCTCATCACCCAAACACCCATAATCCTCTGATATATTCCACAGAGCACCCTCCACTATTAACCCTCCCTATTCTCTACCCAAAACTTCTGGTAGACTTAATTTTGCAGTTCCATTTCCAGGGTTTGTTTTGGTTCATTGTATATGTTGTTTTTTTTTTTTTTCAAATTGTTTCTTTATATTTCACATATTATTGAAATCATTTAATAGTTGCTTTTCTCCTTGCAAATGATTCCAGTTAGCATAATCCCCTGCAGTTCCATTCAAGTTGTCACATATGGCAAGTTTAAATGTGAATATCTTTACATTTAAATGGAACACTAAAGATGAATTTAGATAGCATGCAATTTTGTTTTTAAAAATATTTTATTTCTTATGACATTGTTCATTTTTGTACAGTCATTGCTTTCTCTCCACAGATGTAGTCCAATAGTTCTCCCACTACCGTTTTGCCCATGAACTGTCACCGGATTCCCTTCTATCCTATCCTTCTGTATTTTGACTCCCACTCCCTTGCTGTCTGCCTCAGATCTATGGCCAATTTGGTAGTTTTGTCTTTTTCTTGACCTTTGTTTTGTTTCTCTATATTCTTCATATAAATGAAACCATCTTATATTCATCTTTTTTCTTATGACTTATTTTGGCTAGCAAAAATCCCTTCCAGTTCTACCCATGTTGCCACAAATGACATGAATTTGTCTTTTTTGATTGCTGAGTAATATTCCACTGTGTAAATGTACCACTCATTTTAAATCCTGCCATCTATTTTGGGAAATTCAGGTTGTTCCCATATCTTGGCTATTGTAAATAGTGTTGCAATAAACACAGGACTGCAGGTTTCCTTTCAAATTAGTGTTTTGTGTCCTTTGGGTGGATTCTTTTTTTTTTTTTTTAATAAGATTTATTTATTTATTTATACAAGCACTGGGTACAGTCAGAAGCACGGGAGGGTGAGATAATTCACCAGAGCTAGAGCGGAAAGCAGAACAGGCAGACTGATGAAATACACTGCTGAGGGGAGCAGAGGGTGGCAGGAGAGGTCTGCGCCATGTGGGACCCTCCTCCGGTGGCTGGGGAGTAGCCAGGGATCGAACCGGCTCTGCAGAGGCTGCAGGCAACTTCGCAGCCCAGCGCTCAACCGCTGCGCCACCAGGGAGACCCTGGGTGGATTCTTATGAGGGGAATCAGTGGATAATATGGTAGATCCATTTTCAGTGTCCTGGGGAAACTCCATATAGCTTTTTTATTTTATTTTTTGAAGATTTATTTACTTATGCATACAAGAACTGGGGTGCAGACCAGAGGTGGGGGGCTGACAGGATTCACCAGAGACACAATGGGGAACAGAACAGGCAGACTGAAATACACAGCTGAGAGGAGCAGCAGGCAAGATAGGACAGATCTGCTGCACCGTATGTGGAGCTCCCTGGCCCTCCAGGGATGGCACTTATGCAGCAAAGACTGCGGGCAATTTCATGGTTCTGTGCTTAACCCCTTGCACCACCAGGGAAGCCCCCCACATAGCTTTCTGTAGTGGCTGAGCCAGTTTGCATTCCCACCAGGAGCATAAGAGGGTTTCTTTAGTGTCATATCCTCTCAGGCATTTTAGGCATTTGTTATTTCCAATTTGTTTAATGTGGGCCATTCTCACTGGTGTGAGATGATATCTCATTGTGGTTTTTATTTGAATTTTTTTTTTATTCTGACCATTTTTGATTGGATTTTTTGCATTGTTGTTGAGTTCTGTAAACTCAAACATTATCAAAATGCCATCCTATATAAAGGAATTCAGTGCAATTCCAATAAAACTCTCAATGACATTCTGCAAGGAAATGGAACAAATTTTGTTGAAATTCAAAAAATCCCCAAAATGAAATCTCTCCTGACTAAAAGGGAAAGAATGGGGCCTCCCCTGTGGCGCAGCGGTTGAGCACTGGGTTGCGAAGCTGCCCGCAGCCTCTGTGGCGCCGGTTCGATCCCCGGCTGCTCCCCGGCCACTGGAGGAGGGTCCCACATGGCGCGCAGACCTCTCCTGCCGCCCGCTGCTCCCCTCAGCAGTGTACTTCAGCCCTTCTGCCTGCTCTGCTCCCCGCTCTGGCTCTGGTGAATTCTCTCACCCTCCCGCGCTTCTGACTGTACCCAGTGCATGTATAAGCAAAACAAACAAACAAATAAATAAATAAATAAAGCATGCCTCTATTAAAAAAAAAAAAAAAAAAAAAAAAAGGGAAAGAATGGAAGCATCCACTCCCAGACTTCAAACAATATTACAAAGTTATTATAGTAAAAACAGCATGGTACTGGGACAAAAACAGACACACAGACCAATGGAATTGAATTAAAAGTCTAGAAGTAAAACCACACATACAGGTCAACTAATTGATGATAAAGCAGCAAAGAATGTACACTGAAGCAAGGAGTGCCTCTTTAATAAATGATGCTGAGAAAACTGCACTGCAGCATGCAACTGAATGAAGCTAGATTACTATCTCAAACCATATATAAAAAAAGTAACTCAAAGTGTTAAAGACTTTAATTGATGAATGACCTGACACCATAAAATATACAAAGTAAAACAGGCTTTAAAACATTCCATGACCTAAAACTCAGATTTCAGACATCCTTCAGAATTCTTCTCCAGAAGCAAGGGAAACAAAATAGGATAAACAGCTGGGACTGCATTAAACTAAACATCTTTTGTACAACAAAAGAGACAGTAATCAAAATGAAGAGGCATTCTATTGAATGGGAGAAAATAATTCTGCAACAACATACAATGGGACTGATAGCATAGGTCAACAGCATATAACTTTGAAATAATGTCAAATTCTTGAGATTTAGAAGAAAAAAAAAAACTAAAGAAACTTTGACATTTAAAACCTTAGACATTTAAAATGGAAGACTAGCTAAGACATTTTAGAAAAATTATTTCCCCAGTTTACAATAATGTTATACATAGAAGTTTACCTATTATTTTGGTTACTAAGTCTTCTTGATATTTTTCAATGCATTTTCTTATTTACAATGGAATAAAAAACAAATAATAAAAACTAAAATATCATTTAGGTCATGAAGTACAGATCTTCTTAAAGATCATCAAGGTAAAAGGTTTCTATCAAATATCCCGGTCTATATTTTCATGCCCTAATCTTATATAAATGTTGGACTTTTTTTTTTTTTTTTTTTAAGATTTATTTATTTATTTATTTATACAAGCACTGGGTTCAGTCAGAAGCGTAGGAGGGTGAGAGAATTCACCAGAGCCAGAGCGGGGAGCAGAGCAGGCAGAAGGACCGACTTACACTGCTGAGGGGAGCAGCGGGCGGCAGGAGAGGTCTGCGCGCCATGTGGGACCCTCCTTCAGTGGCCGGGGAGCAGCTGGGGATCGAACCGGCACTGCAGAGGCCACGGGCAGCTTCGTAACCCAGCGCTCAACCTCTGCGCCACCGGGGAGGCCCAAATGTTGGACATTTCAATAAAAATAAAATTTTTCCTTACATGCGAAGGCCAGTCTGAATATTTGTATGTCCTTTTATTGATTTGTTGCTGATGTTCTTGTTAGAAAATTTTAAAAATATGTCATACTAAATTATTTAAAAAAGTGTTATAGAATTTAACGAAGCTCTCTACAACTTTAATGATTTACTTTGTCCATTCTCTTAACTCCTGCATCAAGCTTGTTACCTGTTCAGGTATAATTTTAATGGACAAGTATAGATAAAAATCCCAGAATGAATAGAAGCTTGTCAAAGTATACCACAACATGCATGCCAGAGAGCTTCATTATTAGACATGCGTCACTCTTCATTTCCAGAAGATGGTGCCGCTACTAAAACTAAGGCATCACAAAGACTTTTCACATGTAAGTCACCCTGCATGCAAATTATTAATATTTTTATGGAAATTTACTCTCAAGTCTTGACCAAGCTCTTTCAATGATTAAAAAGTAAATGTTCGGGCCTCCCAGCGGCGCAGCGAATTGAGCACAGTGCTGTGAAGCTGTCCTCAGCCTCTGCAGCACCTGTTCAATTCCCGGTCAGCCAGAGAGATACCCCTGCTCCCCTCAGCAGTGTTTTTGGTCTCTCTGCCTGTTTTGCTCTTCACTCTGTCACTGGTAATCCTCTCGCCCTCCCGCACCTCTGGCCTGTACCCCAGTTCTTGTATAAAAATAAATCTTTAAAAAAATAGTAAATGTTCAAGTTTGATTTTTTTTTTTAAGAAAAAATAAAACAAAACAAACTGTAAAAAATACAAGGACTGTTTGTGTTGGCATAATATAGTAATAATGTATTGTGCTTGAATTTGTAAGAAGAAAAAATGTATCAAATGAAAATATTATAACTTCACATAACTTTGTTTTAATTTTGATATTCACCAATAAGACATTTTATTTTTTATACTCTTGTATTTAACATCTTGTTAATTTTTTCACAGTGTAGGATTTTCTCCCCTAAAATGAGGTCACCATAACTTTCCCACCACTAAATTGCCCCACAGTTATGTAAGATATTTTAAATAATCAGACAGAAGCTCAACCACCCATGGAAAAGAGAACTAATTTCAGTTTAGCAATGAGTTTTTTCCACTCTATAATTATCATAAACATTGTTTCATGTGCCATAATTCAAGCAATTTTTTTAAGATTTATTTATTTTTATACAAGAGCTGGGGTACAGGCCAGAGGCGTGGGAGGGTGAGAGGATTCACCAAAGACAGAGCAGGGAGCAGAACAGGCAG